ACCTCGGGGGTCCAGGTAGCGAAGTCTTGTCACTTTCCATGGAGCTCACAGCCGTCCCACAAGGCAGCTGGGTTTATCCCCATTTTACAGGCGAAGAAACCAAGTCATGTCGTGGCCTGAGGTGTCTCAGCAGGATCAGGACTGGACTCCCGGCGTCCAACCCCCCACCCCCATTTCCACTGGCCACAGGGTACCCCCGGGGTCGCCGTCTGGTCCAGAGGCTCAGCCTGTCCCGGCCTGAGCCCCGAGGTCTCTGGCAGACCAGGAGCCCAGTGCTGAGGTCAGTGTTGGCCCTGCCTCTGAGGGGGAGGGGGCAGCAGGTGCAGAAGCCTGTGGCCTGAGGGAGGAGCCACGCTCCAGGGCAGAGAGGGGGGGGCGGTAGGCAGGGCTCCGGCCAGGCAGCAATGGGTGGCCTGGGGGGGAGGGTGGCGTGGCTCCGTCAGATCGCAGCAAAGACTAAGCCAAGCCTACGAGATGCACAGGGGTGGCTGTGGGAAAGCCACGGGCTCACTCCAGGTCTGCGGGGTCTGGAACCTTCTGCAGGCCCAGCAACTGCTACTGTCGTACACACTCCCCCCCCCCCTTTTTTTAAAATATTTTTATTGATTTCAGAACAGAGAGGAAAGGAGAAGGATAGAGAGTTAGAAAATGATGAGAGAAAATCACGGATCGGCTGCCTCCTGCACACCCCCTACTGAGGATTGAGCCTGAAACCCAGGCATGTGCCCTGACCGGGAATTGGACCCTGACCTCCTGGTTCACGGGCTGACGCCCACCCACTGAGCCAGCCGGTTGGATGCAAGAACTTCTTGGAGAGTTTTCTGTGAGCTTCATGTAGGCGATTCAAGAAATAGCCTCTTTCTCCCTCTGCGCCTTTTGCTGCTGAAAGTGCCTTTTCTGAATAAAAATGCGGCAGCAGCAGAAGTGCTGGTGACAGTTGTGGGGGTCGGTGGGCTTTGACTTGGAGACCCCTTGTCAGTGCTGTTTCTAAAGCCACAGCCCAGCGCCCGCTGGCCCGACCCGGCTGCTGAGCGTGGCCGTGGTGGGGCCTCCTGGCGGCCCCAGCTTCGCGGCCGGCTCTGCCTCCCAGTCCTGCTCCCGCTGTTTACTTTCCAGCAGCACTGGGCTCGAGTTGAGACCTGCCACGTGGCTCACAAACCCTGCCCCAGCGAGGGCCTGGTCTTCATCTGTGTCCATCGAGGGAGCCGGGTGTGGGCAGCCGCCCGGGGGCCTCAGGGGTCACACCCACTCGGGGTCCTGGCTGTCAGGCCACTGGG